TGTCTCTGCGGACACTTCATTCACAGCAAGCTGAGGTCAAAATCTACCATGGGCCTGCCTGCCATGCGTTCTGCCACCACATGGTGCCCGCAGTCTACTCGCACTAAGAGTTTTCTGGTGTGCGATGATCTGCCTAGCTCGGAACTGGGAGTATGTCAGGGGAGACTAGGGAACTTCTAGGCTATGTCTACACTCGCGGATTCTCATGCGAGAAATAGGCATAACGGCATTGCGCAAGAGGGTTTTTCTTGTGCAAGAAGAGGCAGTGTAGACAGGTCCTTCTGGTGCAAGAGCATCTTCTGCAAAAATGGCTGCTCATTAGGTATGCAAATGAGACTCGGCAATATTTCATGCGTAGCCTCATTTGCATATTTATCAGGCAAGAAGCTGCGAGTATAGACATAGCCCTAGACTGCAGCAGAGGTGTCCACACAGCAATGTAGCACATGGCAGGTGGGGGCAAAGTAGGTTTGTACCCCATCTTGCCTATGTTCTTTCTTATAGACAAGTCCAGAGCTGAAATGATCAGCATGAAGGGTGTTGCTTGATAGCACCGGTAGTCCTTCCATGGTCTTCACATTCATCAGTCACTACCTGTGCTGCGGTTTGGCTGCCTTGTGAGTGTCGCATATATGCCACCTGAGATTCATTAGGATTTGGGAGACTCTAAGGCAGGAATGGGCAGCCAGGAATGGTGGGTGGGCTCCATGAATGTCCCTCCTTCACCATGGCCCACTGGGGTTGCACCTGCAGCCTCGTAGCCCCCCTGTATGTCCCCTCTCTCCCATGCTCATGCACCAGACCCCCATAATTCCTATTCTTTCCCTCCCCAGCACTTTCAGAGCATGCAGATCACCTGATTCATGCTCCAACCCTATTCCTCTTCCCCTCCCTACCAGAGCTGGAATGCCGTGAACAGCTGATATGTGGCATTCCAACTCTGGGAGGGTGGGGGTGCAGTGGGGATGGAGTGTGAATCAGATGATTTGCATGCTCAGAAAGTGTTGGGAGAGAGGGGGGAGGAATAGGAAGGGTGGGGCCCCGGTGTGCAAGAGGCACATGGAGAAGGGAGACGGCCAGAGGGTCTTTGGGCTGCAGGTTGCCCACCCCTGATCTAAGGCCATGTCTGCACTAGTTAGTACTTGGCTGCAAAACTTTTTGTTGCTCAAGGGTGTGAAAAGAATGTTTGCTGAACGACATAATTATTGCCAACATATGTGCCAGCTGAGCTGGTTTTGTTAATGGGAGCGTTCTCTCCCATTAGCTTAATGCAGCTACAGGAGTGCTCTTACAGGGGCGCAGCTGTGCCGCTGTAAGTAAACTTGGCTTTAGTGAACTCTTCAAAAATTTCATCCAGTCTCTGCCAATAGGTTTCAAAACCAAACGTGCCCGCAGTTGTTTGGCACGCAGCTTCGATGAACTCGTATGGCTGAGTGTTCTAAGACTGTTTATTTCATAGTAAGCTACTTCTCTCATCTAATATGTTTCCTAGTTGACAGGGCACTTTCTCCATTCATGATGCCTACTCCTTGATTGGGAATGTGTTGAAATCCTTACCTCGCTATAGTAGTTTGATAGACCCAGCACTGGCCTGGTCATAGGAAATCAATGTGTAAGTAATATAATGTGAGATGGGGTCCAATGAAGGAAGTATTTCTAGTGTAGGTTCTTCCTTGATTTCTCTCCCTGCCGCCTCACTCTTAGGGTGTTCTGTCAATTTACAGCTAAATCAAGAACACTATATTGATTACGGTTGGAGATTGTGGAAACTGTTATTCTTCCTATGTGGTCTGCATTCCTGTGTAGAACAAAGACTCACATCCCACACTGACACCTCATCATAATGATGATGTGTGGCATTTATATTCTTGCTATTATGTACACCTTGTCTCCATGTTAGCAACTACACTGGTTTAAAAAAAAAAAAAGACTTGTCAGCACGGTCAATTCTAAAACATGAAACAACAGAAGCTGCAGGACTGTTGCTGTAGATTAGTTGTTTTTTTTAAACCGAATACATTGATTACTGTTGATGTACAGAGATATAGAAAATAATATAGGGAGCTTGTAACGTAGATTATTGTTGCTTGGTAACACAGGTAGATACAGAAAATAGTAAAGGGAGCCTTTAACTTTGTCTGTAAAGTTGTAGCTGCACCTGTGCAAATAGAACATTTGTTTTATTTGTTCTATTTCCATAGTTCCATCAGTGCACCTATATCTTTACTGACAAAGTTAAAAGCTCCCTTTCTTGAGGCATGTGCCTAATATTTCCTATGTCTTATTTCCTCTTAACAAGCCTGTACACGAGGGGAGGCGAAGGGTGCGAATATACTCCCACCCTGTCCATGGTCCTTCAAGTAAGCCGGCCTGGGGAAGGCTGGGGCAGTGCATTGTCCCAGCCTCCCTACCGGATGCTCCAGCCGGCCAGGGAAAGGCTGGGGCTGATTTCTCTCCTCCTCCTGCCCCCCAGGAGCGAGGGCAGGGCAGAGCTGCGGGGTTGGGGCAGCCACCAGCCCCTCCCACAGCTCATACCTCCCCCCCTCTGAAATTCCTGTGTATGCATCTGTCTGATGTGCTAATGGGATGCTCAAGCTCCTTTGCCCAACACTTCCCTTATTGAGGAAGCTGTTAACACACACCTTTCACAAGCCAAACTGTCCAGTGACTGACTGCTAGTAAAACACAGAACAATGAAAGAAAGTCAACCCAGTAGTGTACACTGATTGACTTTAGCCCTCATTCTGTATTGAGATACTCGCTGGGGTGGTGATTTGCAAAGTTTTATAGTGACCTCTTTTCAGTACACACATGCACTAGACCTCAGTTTTTCCCAAACTTTTTGGCGTCACACCCCCTTTTTGATAAACATCTCTCCTCCCTCTTCCCCCC